TTTTCATAGTCTCCCCAACTGAATTATAAAGTCCTTGAGACCAGAAGCCATGCGATATTAAAACTGAGCATCATCTTTTGTTCACTACTGATATTTAAATATTTTGTTACCTAGAAATAAGAGGCATAGCAATTAAAAATATGAAAGTTCTCTTCAGCATGAATAGCAGTCAAAACAATCTGACTTCTTCTTTCAATACTAAAACAGAAGATATTTCTGAAAACTCAAGAGAAATTAAATCATTCACATAACTTTTCCTCTATATAAGGTAATTCCTTCTGAAAACCATTTTGAATAGTAATAGAATTGTACACATACACTATGCCAGAATTTAAGTGGGTGCTTGTCATAACCAGCTACAGTTTTTGTACTATAATCAAGTGTCTGGGTTAGTTTTTTTTTTTATTACTTGATTTTTTTTTTTTTTTTTTTGAAAGCAGGGTTACAATGAGAGAGAGAGAGAGAGAGGGAGAGAGATCAAGTTTCCATCCACTGGTTTACTTCCCAGATGGCTGCAGTGATCGGGGCTGTAGCAGGTGGAAGCCAGGAGCCTGGAGCTTCCTCTGAGTCTCCCACATAGGTTCAAAGGCCCAGGCACTTGGGCCATCTTCTGCTAACTTCCCAAACGCATTATCAGAGAACTGGATTGGAAGTGGAGCAGCTGGGTCTTGAACCAGCACCCATATGAGATACCAGCATTGCAGATGATGAATTAACCTGCTACACCACAATACAGGCCCCAATTATCTGTATTTTAATCAAGAAATTTATTTAACAAATTATTCATTGAGTCCCTAATTTATACAAGGGATCACACTAAGAAATGAATGAAAGATTAACCAAGGCCTCAACACTCTAACAGAAGAGAAAAACTTAACATTTCACAGGATCAAACATTTGGCCACCTGGTTAAGCTACCAGTTAGGATACCTGTGTCCCATATATGAGTACCTGGTTCAAGTCCCAGATCCAACTCCTAATTCCACCTTCCTGCCAGTGTGGACCCTGGGAGGCAACAGGTGATGAATCAATTAGTTGGGTCCCTGACACCTATGTGAGAGACCTGGATTGAGTTTCCAGCTCCCAACTTCAGCCTGCCATGACAGTTGTTGGGGATTTGGAGAATGAACCAATGGATAACAGCTCTATCTCCCTTTGTGTTTGTTTATCTCTCTCAAAAACAACAACAACAACAACAAAACAAAAAACTTCCACGAAAGTTAAATAAGCAATACCATATAGTTAACTTGCTGAATATTGTTTTAATTTCAATTGGTACAACTCATCTGCCAAAAAAAATATTAAAAGAAACAGTAAAAGTAACATCTGAGAGATGCCTTAAAAGTTAATTGGGGGGGGGGGGCAGCGCTGTGGCATATTGGGCAAAGCCGCCACCTGCAATGCTGGCATCCCATATGGGCACCAATTCTAGTCCCGGCTGCTCCACTTCTGATCCAGCTCTCTGCTATGGCTTACGAAAGCAGCAGAAGATGGCCTAAGTCTTTGGGCCCCTGCACCCAATGTGGGAGACCTAGAAGAAGCTCCTGGCTCCTGGCTTCGGATCGGCGCACCTCTGGCCGGTGCAGACATCTGGGAAGTAAACCAGCAGATGAAAGACCTCTCTCTTTCTCTCTCTCTCTCTCTCTCTCTCTCTCTCTCTCTCTCCCTCCCTCCCTCTCTCCCTCACTCCCTCCCTCTGCCTCTCTGTAACTCTGCCTTTCAAATAAACAAATCTTAGAAAAAAAAAAGAATCTATTACTGCAGAATCCTGGACTTTAAACATGCTGCTCTCTCAATGTATCTTTGCCTAACTTACAGTTCTTTATACATCTTCAGATGAGAATAGGTAGAGTATGCAATTCATTTTCCTCAACATTGTTAAGGAGGTACTTTTAAGGAAATTATTTCACACAAGCCAGGGGCCAGGACCCTCACTCTTTTTCGGAACATCGGAGAAAAGTAGTTTGTTATCTCTCTCTCTCTCTCTCTCTCTCTTTTTTTTTTTTTTTTTTTTTTTTTTTTTTTTTTGACAGGCAGAGTGGATAGTGAGAGAGAGAGACAGAGAGAAAGGTCTTCCTTTAGCCATTGCTTCACCCTCCAATGGCCACCACAGCTGGCGCGCTGCGGCCGGTGCACCACGCTGATCCGAAAGCAGGAGCCAGGTGCTTCTGGTCTCCCATGGGGTGCAGGGCCCAAGCACTTGGGCCATCCTCCACTGCACTCCCTGGCCACAGCAGAGAGCTGGCCTGGAAGAAGGGCAACTGGGACAGAATCCGGCGCCCCGACTGGGACTAGAACCCGGTGTGCCAGCGCCGCTAGGTAGAGGATTAGCCTATTGAGCCGCGGCGTTGGCATAGTTTGTTATCTCAACACTATACTGACAGGACCAGGGAGGAGACAGAGTCCATGTCCCTGACTGATGCTACTGCTCCCTGGCAGTTTCATTCACTATAAGAATAATGGCTAAGATGGTTTCTCCTCTTATATATAATAAATAGCTACAGCTCTCTATAACTTATAGTGCTCAACTTTCTTGCCTTCAAAACCAAATTTATCAGCAGCCATTAAGCATCTGCATTGATTTCAAAAGTGCAAAGAACCACACATATGTTATGTATACCAAGTCTTTTCATGTACAGTGAGTGTTGGGCAACATGTGGATCTCAGTCTCTTTTCAGATTCCCTTTGTAATAAACACTTCATTCAGTTCATTGAACAATCCAATTATTTCTCCTTATTTTTTGAAAATAAATTTACCTCTTTTTAATCCTCTCCTCCTTTTAAAAACACTCTCCTGTGCTTGGCAGGTATTCAGTCCAGTGGCTGAGAAGCTCCATCCCATAGGGAGTTTGCCTGGGTTTACTACCTGGCTCCGGCTCCTGATTCCGGCTTCCTACTAATGCAGACCCTGGTAAGCAACAGTGATGGTGCAAGTAATTGGCATCCTAACACCCATCTGGGAGACCTGGATTGAGTTCCTGACTCCTAACTTTGGCCTGGGATCATTTCAGGCAACTGGAGAGTGAACCAGTAGAAGGGGGCTTTCTGTCTATCTGTCTGTCTCTCCCTTTCCCTCACAAGTAAATAAATTTTTAAAAATAAAAAAACTGAGAAAATAAAAAGTGGTTTTCCTTAAAGTAGACAAAGATATGTGCCATAACCCTTTCTTCTGTCCTCCTAAGGAAAAGAGTTTACAGATCTATCAAATGCAATGGATATTATGGAAATTCCACAAATATTCATCAGTAGTATAAATTATATTTAGTGACATTGTTAATATTTCCATAAACGCCTCTGAACAAACTTTTTGACCAAAGATCAAATAGAAAATGTCAAACCCATCTCGAACATTAGCAGGAACCAGGGCAAGACTATAAATGGAGGCCAACAGGCCACTTGTCTACATAGTTAAAAGTTACAAGGCAAGGGGCCAGCACCGTGGCTCACTAGGTTAATCCTCCACCTGCAGCGCTGGCATCCCATATGGGCACTAGGTTCTAGTCCTGGTTGCTCCTCTTCCAGTCCAACTCTCTGCTGAGGTCTGGGAGGGCAGTGGAGGATGGCCCAAGTGGTAGGGTGCCTCCACCTACGTGGGAGACCAGGAAGAAGCACCTGGCTCCTGGCTTCAGATCGGTGTAGCTCCGGTTGTAGCGGCCATTTGGGGGGTGAACCAATGGAAGGAAGACCCTTCTCTTTGTCTCTCTCCCTCATTGTCTAACTCTATCTGTCAAATAAATAAAAAAAAAATAAGTGAAAAAAAATTACAAGGCAAGTCAAGCTATTACATAAAATACAGTCTTAGCCTCTAAAACTGATAAATATACTTGCAAGAGCAGGTCAGGTTGACATTTAGAATTCTCAGACTCCTTGAGGTTCTGCCTCATAATACAGTGACACGAAAGGGCCAGCCCCCTCCTACTATTTCCGTTCCCCATTCCTGCCAACACTAGGCAGGGTGTTGCACACATATCTGGACATCCTACATACCTCAACCTGCTGTCCCTTATCCACTTCTCATGTTCACCGGTTTTATCAAACACACGGAACAGGCTCACGTAGACTCTGGAAGCGCAGGTTCTCAGCTGTTTGGGGGAAGGAAATTCCCAAGTCCCTGAGCACAGAGATCAGGGTTGGAGGAATGAGGGCTTAGGCTGGTCATGGCCCCTTGGCTCCTCAAATGCTCACCCTGTGGTGAGGTGTGACCAGAGCAGGGCCTTCAAATGTGTGCATTCCACAGCAAGGACCCCCTTGCCCAGCAGTAAAGGCACTACTTGATAATTCACTGCCAGATCAGCTTTGTTACCAGTTAATACACTAGCTGGAACTAAGCATTTGTACGCATAAAGATTATGAAGGTGAATAAAACCCCAAATTCCAATCTCGAATCACTTCAGTTCCCCCAAGATCTATAGTCAAAAGGTCTAATATTTATCTGAACCTAACTATAGACTAGATTCTATGCTTCCTTTACAGATCCAAAGAAATTTACAGAATTCCATTCGCATGCCAGAGGAAGGTGAGAAAACAATGAGAAGCAGAAGGAAGAGGGGAAGAACACAGAGTATCAGAAGACAAGACCAGACATGCAGATGGAAGAGAAAGCATTTCCCCCATGTTCTGTTGCTTGTGTGGGAAAGCTCAGGACATCACCATTAACCATCTGATCAAAGTTCAGTATCACAGCAAGGCTAGTGGCACAGCTTGTCTCACTACTGCAGATTCATGCGGTGTAGTCGCTGGCTTCCTAACGCCCCAGTCTGGCCTCTGTGTACATGCAGGGCAAGCTGGACTTGTCAGCATGTAAGCAGAGATCAACGACAGCTCACCCTGCACTGCATCTCTCCCTTGCCATAATGTGCTACCCTTGCAATGAGTACTTTCCTTAACAAGAAAATTATTCTCTTAATTTGAAAACTCCAATAAACAACTCAATACAATAATAGACATATCCCACAGGAAGGGAAGTATTTCAACTGGAAATCTTATTTTTGTGTACTTACTGAGATTGTACCATTGTCTAGACCTATGGACAGTCTTCTTGTTTCCGGGTTAAAAGACATGCATGAACATGGAGCTGAAAGAAATGAACATGTTGATGAAATTAACAAAACGATGATTCTCTTCGATTCAGGAGTGCCTAACTAGATAAAAGTGTATCGTATTCCCCCCTCTCCATTTCCTGAAATAGTTCATGTAACTCTCACTCATGAAAAAATAAAAATAACTTTATAACCAACCCTTAGTTTTTCAGTTATCTTTCAAGGACTACAGCAAACCGGGCAAGTTCCCAAGGACTTGGTCCCAGCTTGTTCTGTAAATATTAGTGTAAATTTGCTTGATTAGATCAGCAATGCTTTGTGCTGTGTAATCTTTCTGTCACCAATCTCTCTCTTCCACTCATAGCCCATCTTAAACAGAAATAACCTATCCTTTCTGAACTATGGGCACAGAAGAAAGATCTCATTATTGCCCCACTTCCCTTCCCATACACATACATGTACTCATGCTAGTACAGAAATCTATTTTTGACCCAGAATTGATATAGGGCATGTGAACTAAAGGAGTCTTCTACTCTTGTTATTCAGGGGGTACGCTGGAGACTGCTGATTGAAAATGACTGAGGATTTGTCTTAATCTAAAAGTCGATGAAATCAACATAGGACTAGGCATTGCAGGAAAGAGAGAGATGGGTCAGTACACTCAATCCTGGACTGGGACTCCCTGTTCTGCAAGACTGGCTGCCTGAGTACATCTGAGACTAAATAAATTAAGTACTAAGCCATGAAGCTACCTGTGGCCAGTGAGTGTTTACTAACCTGCCAACTTCCAGGTTCCTGCCTTCCTTACGTGTGCTTGTTCTTAAGAGTACGGGCCTTTTGACAGTTTACTCCATACTGAAACGACTTCTAAAGAGCCCAACACAATGTGTAAATGTCTGCCCACATATTCACAGTAGCCCTGGAGATCATGAACTATTCATCATCATAATCATAATCAACATCGGATATTTTTATTCCTACTTTTCACAGTTATGATTAGATGTCTTACTCAAGGACACACAGGGGGAAAAAAGCTGGAGAAGGTTCAAAGGCATATTTCAAACACAGTCTCATTTTCAAACACCCAACTTAGATTATCTTTAAACTATAAAAGAACTTCAAGTTCTACCAACAGAGCCACTTCATAAACACATCATTTAGTAACTATTTTTCATTCTCTAAAAAGAGCCCTGAACGACAACAACAAAAGATTTTCTAAACTGATTAAAATATTTATTTTTCTAATCTTCAATCATGAAATGTTCAGAAAATAAAAACATACAAAAAAGACATTTCCCTAAAAACTTCCATCAGCATAGCCGACCAGCTTCTTTCTGTTCAATCACAAAACCAGATTCCCGAAAGTACACTGCTGAGAAATAACAGTCAGATGATATTGAATGCACTGCCCTGACAACATTGGTCTTACTCATCTTGGCCTATGTACTATTTGGCACAATTTCTACACAAATGCTAAGATACCAATTCTCATAATCTCATAATATGTGATAAGAATTAAAATCTAATGATTTCATGGAACATTATCATGTTAGTAAAACAGAGCAAAAGACAAACTACAACTACGTAAAAGTACATATACACAGAAAAACACATTAAGCACAGTTCTTGTGTTCAAGTGATAAGATCATATCTGTACCACTGCCTTTAATCTTATTATTTTGCTGTCCAAATTAAAGTTAATTTTAGGGGGCCAGCGCTGTGGCGGAGCAGGTTAATGCCCTGGCCTGAAGCACCAGCATCCCATATGGGCGCCGGTTAGAGAAAAACACCACTTTTTAAAAATTCTTTTCTATATTCACAAAACGGAATACATAAGCTCTGAGTAGGATTTCTCATATGTGGAAAGAAAACTATTAAACAGTTGAGGCAGTAAGTAAAGAATCTATTACTGGGGGCCGGCGCTGTGCGTAGCAGGTAAAGCTGCCACCTGCAGTGCCGGCATCCGATATGGGCACCAACTCTAGTCCCAGCTGCTCCACTTCTGATCCAGCTCTCTGCTATGGCCTGGGAAAGCAGTAGAAGATGGCCCAAGTCGTTGGGCCCCTGCACCCATGTGGAAGACCTGAAAGAAGCTCCTGGCTCCTGGCTTTGGATTGGTGCAGCTTCGACAGTTGCGGCCACTTGGGGAGTGAACCATCAGATGGAAGACCTCTCTTTCTCTTCTCTCTCTCTCTGCCTCTCCTCTCTCTGTGTAACTCTGACTTTCAAACAAATAAATAAATCTTAAAAAAAAAAGTTAATTTTAAATGCCTAATTAATTATTAAGATGTAGCATGAACATAAAGCAAAACCTGACGGTAGAGCCTAGCCAACAAGCACCCTTATCGTGGAATCATCTGAAAGTATTTTCTATGTGATTTTCTCCAAAGTTCATATCTGAGAATGCTATAGTTAGAAAACCTTCTGATCTGTGATTTAAAAGACTTTTTTTTTATAACACTGCATAGGCTACCCTTGAATCTACGTAGCTATTTCTCTAGTCCTTGTTTTTTCCCCCTATTTACTATATTTCTTGTTATTCTTTCAACAAAAATATAGAATGCTTACCATGTTCCAGGCATACAGTGATATATAAGGTATTATTGCTTCCATTAAGGAACTGATATATTGTGATACCAGCTACATTTAGGAACTGTGTAAGATAATTTTACTTCCTTGGTTCGACTCACTTTATGTATAGTGAGAAACACCACTACCAGAATTCAAAAGCAAAATACCTTTCCTATAAGAAGCTTAAACAAAAGAAATTTTAACAAAAATCCTGCTGTGCTAGAACTCCTATGCCTGAACCTAAGATGTTCTGGATAGGAGAGGACCAGAGCTTTCAGCATTAGCTCAGGAGACCCCTCAAAGGCACAGCCACTGAGAAAGGTATTATGGAGAAACAGTAAGTAAACCTGCCTATGTGTGTAGGGAAAGGATTTGGTAGGCGAGCCTTATGATGCTCCTCAAATCATTTCTCACATTCCCATAGGAGCAGGCCCTGGGTTGGTCACCCATAAGCCTTCGCAGGGCCAAAGAGGCAGGGAGTAGATTCATAAGAATATTGGTGTCCAGACTGATTGCTGCAGTAAATCTTTCCCTTTGTAGTCAGGGAGTAGACACAGAGATCTTTCTAACCTGACCTTAACAAAATGAACAAAAAAGCCACCTTTGAAAGCCTATTGCTGAGGCCCACACAAAACAGCTTCCAGCCACGGAAGGCAGATTTCAAAAGGGCAAAATTGTCTGGAGAAAACTAATGAGACAAAAGAAAGTGGAGGTCATTTTAGCAAAATGGCAAACGGAATCCTTCAGCAATAAGAAGGGAAACAAACCAAATAGGATTTAGGTATAATCGTAGCTATATTGCAAAAGTGGGATACTTTTACCAGTAAGAACTCTGCTTTAAATACTGTACGGCTAACCACACAGGTTAGAGACAAACTGGCTGGGAAGCTGTTTTATTCTCCCATCTTAAATTGCTTTCTCCAAAGAGCGAGTGAAGTGGCTGACCAGGAAGGCAGAGCTGCCCTCTACTGACTTCCTTTTTCAAAAACCCAACCCTGGACTCTGATGAGATAAATGCAGCAGGAACAAAATGTGAAGATATATTCATTCCCCTCACCTTTACCTGATTGCCCACGTGAAATGACAACCACACTGAATAAGCTCTGTGGCAGGGACTCCCCCACCCCCGCCCCAGTCAAGGCCTCTCACATACATCATGCTATATGTAGTCTGCCTGAGACTGCTCTGATTGACCCAATAAGAGAAATTCAAGGCCTTGCCACAGGTCACGTTGATACTGCACCCTAGCTTCCTATTTTTTCCCCTCTGTTTTCATTGAAATGTAGGGGGGAAACGAGCTGTTTCTTGATGATAATATAATACAGAACTCATTTTCCATACCATCTGAATAAGATTTCCCATCTACTTGTCCTGTCCAAAATAATGACATTCAAAAGAAGTCCACTGGTAAAATTGAGAAGATAGTGAAAGGTACAAATAAGATAGAAAAGAAATGTGTGCAAGTGTATGGCTAATGAGACTTTTTATTCTTTTATATTAGTATCAGGACTTTGGACTTTGATGGTATGTCAGACTCTCACCTTTAAAATTAAATACTTTAGAATATTTGAGTGTTTTTTAAAGTGAAGTGTTTGTAATTTAAGGTGGGTAGTCGGTTTAAAGTTCAAGGAAAAATAAAATAAAGAGAAACCCCCAGTATGGGTGATTATTTTAATGATCATATAATTTGAAGGGGGGGAGCTCAAGAGCCCTAGATAAAGGGTCCTTGAGAGACCAACGTAAACCTCAACAGAGTCTACAATTAAACAGATTAGAGAAAAACTGGTTAGTGTGCTTCTAATACTTTAGTCCAACAGGTGGTGTGTGTGTATATGTGTGTGTGTATGTGTGTGTGTGTGTGTGTGGGTATACATATAAAACATTGCCCTCGCTTTTCCTAAAAAATGTAGTTGAAAGGAACCATTCTCAAAATATTTCCTTTTGGGTATAAGTTTCATAATTTCCATTCCTTATACCTATACTTCTTTCATTTTGTGAGACTAATTTATTGTCTGTCTTTGCTGACTGGTTGAACTTTGGTCAAATACACACAAGTTTCATTGAAGGTGAAGCTGCGGGTTTCAATCACACCAACTGCTTTACGATACTAGAGGCGTTATTTGGCAGGAGACACTAATCTTCCTCATGAGATGTTATGGTTGGGATATCTGTGAATAAAACTTCAGGTGCTAAAGGTATAGTGGTTAAGTGAAATGCCAGGATCTCCTGATAAGAGGGCTTTTGACAGAGCAATTACATTCCCACAAGGCAAGGATTTAACTCACAGACATTTCAGTCAGTCTTTTTGTCATAGGATAATATATATATTAGATCTGCAGTACTCAACCTATGTTTTATTTTATTAAGCACACATATATTTATGACTTGAATTGCCTAGAACTAAAAAGTACTTTTCTGCTTAGGCATTTATGCTCTCTACTAAAGCTAATCATTTATGTTTTCT